TGTAAAAATGCCATCTTTCAAGCGTTATTGTTATTAAAGAAGAGGCTAAGAACAAAGGACGGTTTTCTTGGGTCTATTCTTTGTGGGGTTTGGCTTCTGCTGAATTATATGACTGTGTTTGTGCTGCATTTAGGCGGAGGGAGGTGAAATCACTGTTCACATCCTGGTTCTGAGCCTCAGGCACATGACTTGTGACCTTGGGTAGGTCACTTGGCTTTCCTCTTTCACAGCCTCAGACTCTTCAGCTGTAAGATGGGATAACAACAGTACCTCCTTCCCAGGATTGTGCTGAAGATGAAGAAGACAACTCACTGTTGGCAATGGGCCAAGTGTCGGTGTGCATCTTTGCTAAAGTGTACCCCAGTGTCTTCCAACGCTGAGCCATTTACGTGGCTAGTCACATAGATAATGAAGCCTGTCACAGTGACACAAGGAGACTGCCCCAGTACGACTAACTCTGCAGGGAAAGGAGGCTGAATTGCTCAGAGCTTGCTGCCGAAGAACCAGCCTACCTCCACCTCAGGCTTAAAGCCATCCCATAGTAAAGACAAACTAGGCTCATTCCTGTTTATGATTAAACCTGTGTTTCTCAAGGACTGGACTATGTCCCCCCTATAACCTTAACTACAAATGGTTCTGCACTGCATATTCCAGGAATGGCAATCATGTCTTTGCTTCAAAAGGTTGTTTATAACCATCTCACAAACCTACATTTGTTTCATAAGGTTCTATGACCACCAGTGACTACCTTGTTATGCCCACCTTGCAACCATGTCATTGTTTCGGGAGGGACTAATTTGTAGGCTTGTGCTCTGCTCTTGTAACCCCGCCTATTTTGCCTGACAGATCTCCCATTTGGAAACCTCCTCCCCTGAGCTCTATAAAAGCCTTGTCTTTCTCACATCCAAAGCTGACTTACCAAACACTGCCGTAGGGGGAGGCAGCTCATATACACAAATAAAAAATCTTGCTTTAATTAAGTTGACCATGATGATTTGGGTTGGTGGCCTTTCTTCTCCCATCTTTGGGATTAACATTTGGAGGCCCCAGTGAGATCAAGACTCCACCCCTCATTCATAAATTCAGAAGCTGGACCCTTCCTTGTGGTCCTCAGGGACTGTGCACCTTGGAAACATTCCAATGTCTTCAGTTCATTGGACTGCCTCAGCAAACAGCAATATTTAAAAAAGGAAAACAGGAAATTGTTAAAATGGATGCCCTGAATCTGCATCTTGTAGACATGCTGTATTTTCTATCATTGAAATTTCCTGGCTATCTTGAAGCCTGTACTACCACAGACTATAAGGAGGGGAGGGTGTAGGTTGTTCAGATCCTTGGGGACAGGACTTTCTGCTTATCTTGGCTGCTTTTTGAAGGCAAAGATACAGATGAAGAACCTGACTATCAGAATCCAGAAGACAGTGTCCTCAGCTCTATCCCAGTGTACCTTAGCTGTACTTTATC